TGTCTGAAGGGCACAGAGGAGAGTTCAACGTGGATTGAGAGTGGGGAGACAATGGCCAGAGATGAAGCTGAAGAGCTCCAGGTCAGACTCTGGGGAGACCGGCTGTCACCCTGAGGAGCCTGGACTTCATCCAGCAGACTGTCGAGGTACCTATGGCAGGAAATGTTCCCATCAGAATAAAGGCAAGAGTAAACAACCCGCATTGGGCTTTTACACACAAAACCACAGTCCGGTCAGATGAGTATCCTCTCAGTCCCTGCCTCCGAGCCTTCTCCTGCTGTTCCCTTAGACTGGGACACTCTTCCATCAGCTCTTTCACTGGTCTGCTCCTTCTCACCGTCCACAAGGGAGCTCAAACACCACTTCCTCTAAGAGTCCTTCCAGGACCTCTCTTCCTAAGTGTATCCTCACCCCGAGCTATTCACTATCACATCAACCCCATTTAGTTCCCCTTCAGGATTTATCACAACCTGAAATCATCTTGTTTCTGTATTTACCTGTTTATTGCCTCCACCATTGGAATAGGAGCTCCATGAGAGCAGGACCCCTGTCTGTCTTGTTCATTATCCATGCCTAAAATGGCAACTAGCACATAGCAGGCTGTAAAATATTGGTGGAATAAATTAAGTAATTCATGAATGGATTTCCAGAGTTCTAGCTATAACCACACACCCTTTTCTCCCACTGAACAAAGTATACATGAGAATAAATGAGCAAGAGTGATATTATTTATTACAAAATCTGTATGTCCAAGCCACACTCCAGACCAATATGAATCAGAATCTCTGGAGGTGGGATCCAGATGTTGGTATTTCAAGGTCTCAAGGTGATACCAATGTGCATACAAGGCTGAGAACCTGCTGACTTCGAAGGACAAGAGCGTGGCTATTGGAACTGGGAAACCTTATTTGTTTCCCAGACCCACTTGTCATATATGAAGCCTGGGGCTCTTGCTTAACTGCTCCCTAATCTCTTGAATCTTTTCTGATTTATTTTTTATAAGTAAATATATTTGCAATTTCAATATCTTTGCTTTTTTGGTGGCTGATCAGTACAGGGAACAAACCCTGGACCTTGGTGTTATCAGCACTACATTTTAACTGAGCTAACCAGCCAGCCCTAAATTTCAATCTTACTAAAACAAATTACTTGTGACACATATTACAAATTATCAAGATGTACAAAGACATCATAACTCCAAACTGAGACTTCCTATGTTGTAGAAGCAACTTTTTATTTTATTTTATTTTAGAAGCAACTTTTTAAAGCCCAAGTATGTCATGATACATTTCAGGGCATAAAAATACATTCTTTATTATATCCAAAGCTTCTTAACTAGGATTTGAAACCTAAAAAGATGGCAATTTAACCTCAAAGGCTCATTCCTATTTATACATCGAAGTAACTTGCTTGTCTGTGGTTTTGTAGCAGGGAGAGGGTTTGGAAGTTCCTTGGAAAGATAAACTTGGTGTATAGTTAATCCTGGTTGTCTGTCATATACTGGGCCCTAGGATATAGAAGCATAAATAAGACAGAAGGCCAGCTCTTGCAGCACTAAGACCAGGGGAGATAAGCAACACCCAGTGCCATGACAGATGTTATTCAAATAGAGTATTATAACAATGCAACAATTTATCAAGACCGTACTGTGCATTTCATTGTTTAACTTCTTAAATACTCACAGCCACCCCAGAATACAGATACTACTAATGTCCCCCCCACCACCATTTTGCAGATGAGAAAAATAAGGTATAGAAAGGTTAAGTAACTTGCCTAGGGTCACACTGCTATTAAATGACAGAGCCCAAATTCAAATTCAGAAAGCCCAACTCCAGAGCCCTTGTGCTCAACCATCGTATTACATATATTGTGTCATGGGAACAAAGGGGCAGGAAAGACCACTTCAGGCTGTAGGAAGAGGACACTTCCTGGGGAAGACAGTAGGAGTGTTTGTCTTGAGAGATGGGTAGACTTTCAAGAGGCAGAGATGGGGGAAAGGATTGTTTCCTGGCAAGGGGATAGCGAGCATTAATGAAGATTTAGAAATTGGAAAGCACTCTTGAGGAAAGGTATTTTGTAGAGTGTAAGATAATGGTAGAAATAATGGGCTGGGCTAGGGCCAGATTCTGGAGTGCCAGAATGCCAGTGAGGATTTGGGCTTTAGTTAGTAGCCATTGGAGAGCTACTGAAGGTTTTTGAGCAGCAAAGGCACATGCAGCAAATTAGAGGAGGAAGTGGAAGGGGACATGGTGATAGGAGACCAATTAGGAAATAGTTCTAATAATGCAGGCGAGGGAACAAAAACAGCCTAGGACAGTGACAGTGAGATAAAAGAGGAAGTAGCAAATGCGAGAGATTATAGAAGGAACTCAACAGGACTTGGTTTGGATTGAAACTTGGAGAGGAGCGAGCGGAAGGAGTCAAAGACGCATCTCATGTTTTGACACTGGGAGGATGGAGACACCGTTAACTCCAATAGGCAAGATAGGAACAGGCTTGGCAAAGGAAAGGGGGGCAGATAAATTTCCTTAGGGAATGTGAAGAATTAGTCTCATTAATCTCAAGCCAAACCAGCAGGAAGGTTTCCTGACTATTATTTGAAGACCTGCTCAGGGATCCTTCACAAATACTGCTTTCAAATTGTTCTGTGACCTTTTACCTACTGAAATTGAGATGCGCATTTGTTGTGAGAGACTTAAGAAATTATTACCTTTAATTACTTAGATCCTCCTGTCCTAGAAGGCTGTGATGTCATGTAATTCCGTCAAGAGTACAGGAAAGCCAAAAGTTAGTTTCTTTGTTCAAGGAATTCAAAGCGAAGTGGGGAGGTGGGAGGGCAAGGACTGCTGTCCAACTCGGGCAAAAGTTAAAACATCCTAGAATTGAATTTGAAGCCATTAACAGTTCAGAACATATTACTCTGATTCTAAAGATGAACTAACATGTGGGGAGGGACTGGTGCTAGATGCTGCAGTAGATTTGTCAAGACATAGATCCTGCACTCGGAAAGACAGTATGGATTTCCCTTGTTACCCAACGTGCAGTCTAGGGACCAGCAGCACTGGCACCAACAAGAACCTTATTAGAAATCTCAGGTCCTACCTCAGACCTATTGAATCAGAATCTTCATTTCAATAAGATCTGCAGGTGACTCTTATGCGCCAGTTTATACTACGAGTTTGGGCTTTGGCATCACACGTATCTGGGTTTAAATCCCAGTTTAGCCACTTACCACTTCTGATGAACATGTAACCTCCTCGGCCTGCTTCCTCACGTATGAGTATAAAATCAGTCTGTGGTCCCACTTTGGTTTCACATTAGATAGCCTGGGGAGGCTTCAAACTCTCCGTGCCCAGTGCATACCACAGACCGATGAAATCAAAATATCTGTAGATGGAATCCAGACATCAGTATTTAAATGTTTCCCAGAGGATTCTAATGTGCATCCAAAGCTGAGAACCATTGATGGCTTTGAAGGTCAAGGGCCATTGGAACCAGACAATCTTCACTTGTTTCCCAGATCTACCACTTCCCATATATGAAACTGGGGCTTCTTAACCTCTCCCTAAGCTTTAATTCCTTCATCTGTGAAATGGCTATGGTATATAACAGTATCTCTTTCAAAGGGCTCTGAGCATTGAAGGAGTTGACACATGTAAAACATGTAGCACAATACAAAGTGCTCAATGAATATTTTGTTATTTATTCAAGGTCCAGTTTCCTTTGCAGAAGGAACCCAGGAAGCAACACAAGGCTTGAAGTATCATATAAATGCCAATCTGTGGCAATGCTCATACTTTACCCACCAGAGATGATTTCCAATTACTTGGCCACCAAGAGGCCAAATGGAGTTTGCCTCAGCTATTTTTAAAATGCAAGAATCTACAATTTTTCTTCATTAAATTGGAGAATCCGAGGAAAAGGCAGCTGGCAAGGAACTTCTGCAGAACAGGTGGGAATAAGTTTCACCTAAAATGCTTCCAACTGTGGGGACAGCAGTGGGTGGGGAGGGGACACAGGAGATCATGCAGTGCTTTTTCTTTGAACAACGGTCCTAACACTTCAGGCAAAAGACCCTGCACTTAATCTGTCCAATGCATCACAGCAATCTCCCCACTTTGAGAATCTAGAATGAGAGTTGGAAGGGCCTTTAGAAAGACTGTTTCAACTACTTTACTTTTCAGATTTGCAAAGGGGAAACCAAGGCCCAGAGAGCTGAGATAACTTATGCAGGGCCATAGACAATTTAAAGCCACAACCAGGTGTAAGGTGACCCAGTCAGATGTAGAGGAAAGAGCCTAGTAGTGACAAAGAAATTGAATGAAAGGGGAAAAAGACGTAACAGTGCTTTGAACCAAAGAGTTTTATAAACACTTGTGGCTTTGACGTGCCCAGGAGGTAGATAAGCATGTGCCCTTTAGTTTGTCCTCAAATTCAACCTCTCACAAGAGGTTAAGGAACACACCCAAGGTTGGAATTGACACTCAGACCTCCCGACTTCCTGGCTTTGGAGCTGGGAGCTCAGCCTCCACCTCCCTTGTCTATCAGGAAAAACATCTGGGTTATAATGCTTGAGGATGGGATATCAAGGGGAAGTGGTGGAAGTTCAATTCTTTAAGACACTTTGAGCAAGACTGCCTAAGACTCAGCCAGGAGCCCCTCCCATGCCCTGAGTCACAAGGCTCGAAGTTTCTTCACTTCTATCTGGGACGCTTCCCTTGTATGACCTTCAGGGAAATTTATTTGCCTGAGATGTTGGATGGGAAGAGAGTTGAGTCTTCAAAATGTGTGAACAAAGACACACCCCTAGGAGCTGTCTCGTAACAAAGCCTTTCCTTTACACAGTCATTTCTCTGTGATCTAATGTGGCTCCTGCACCACACTGGTGAATGCCTACTTAAAGCAATGTGAGAGGAACAGGCAGGACCACAAGAAGAAAAAGCAAGGGAAGTCATCTTTAAAGGCCAAAAGGTTACATTAAACATAATAAAATACAACTGTTTCCTTTAAAATTTTTAATGGACAGGAAACGGTATAGAATAACTGCCAAGTCACATAAATTAACTTTTTTGTTAATGTTTGTGATGCCGGAAAGAACACACTATCGGTCGATGCACACTGCACAGGCGTTTTCATCAGCCGTTGTCTGGACACATGACTGAGTGTGGGCCACGGACCCATCTTTACATGGTCCAGAAAAAAAAGCGGCTGCCATATTTGGCAGGCTTCAGATCTCCTTCTATCTCAGGGTTGGGCTCTGGTCTTGGTCTTGAGTGGTAGGGGTTCTCCGGTAAAGGTCGATCTGTTTTCACTTTGGTGACCTGGGAAGGGTGAAGAGTAAGAAGCAAAGTTGAAAGTCAGGTTGGAAGTCTATAAACGTGCCTCCTCTCTGCTCCTGCTGCCCCAACTGCTCCAGCAAATCATGTTCAGATTCATTTAACCCTTTAATAAACACTTATGAAAGCCTACTTTATGTCATGCTACGTGTTTGAAGTTAGATATGGAAAGGAATAAGACATACACCGTCCTCAAGGGGCTCACAGTCTAGTTATCCCTAACAGACAAGAATATCAACCAAGGACTTCCTAATTACCATGTTACCCAACTGCCATGATGGAGATATGAACTGCCTGCTGTAGGAGCAAGGACTCTGCACATCTAACCCATCCTGAAGGCTAGGAGCTTGGACTATTTCTGAGGTAACATTTAGCTTAATTGTAAAGGATCAGCAGGAGCCAGCCAAGAAGATTAGGAAGGAAAAGACATTCCAAGTAAACCAACAGTACACATGAAGACAGGCCTGTCTTTAGAATGGCTGAAGCAAAGGATGCATCAAGAGTGGAGGGAGATGAAGCACCTAAGCACATATTGTTGTTAGAAACGATGCTGAGCACATCATTCCATTCCATTCTCACATTGCTATGAGGTCATTTTACAGAGGTTCACTGAGGCCACCTAGCTAATAGTGGAAGAACACAGAGTACAAAAAGCCAGATCTGCTTACTTCACAGCCTGCACTTTTAAATAACACACAACACTGGTAGACAGGAGCCATATGATAAAGGATACTGCATTAGATGCAAAGATATTTGAATCTTAAACTGATGGCAGTAGGTGCCACTAATGCAGAGGAGTAACTAAACTACACCCATAGGCCAGAAAATGTGGAAGCTGGATTGGAGAGAGAGGAGACCAGAGAAGGGGAGCTGAGCCAACAGGCCAGAGGAGATGAAGTACTGAACTGCAAGAGGGAGAGAGATGGGAGATATTTACACTCACATTATCCCCTGATGGTCACAAAAATCTCAACTGGAAAGCCAGCAGAAAGTGTTCTCATCGCAGGCCCAGATAAATGGGAAGACATAAGGCCACAGTTATTAACAGTCTTCTGATTGTTGCTCTAATGGTCTGAACTCTAAGCCACCCTGTATAATATGACCACATCAATCTTCCTAGATGCGTAAACTCAGAAACCATTTATTGTGAACAGAGCTTTCAGATATACAACCACCATATAGGGCATTATTATCCCTAGTTCACAGATGAAGACCAGGGAGCTTCACTTGCCTATGAGAAAGACACACGGTCATGTCAGAGCTGGAGCTAGAACCCAAGTCTTCAATCCCAGAGTGGATTTTGTTTGCTTCTAAAACAGTTTTCTCATCTCCCTGTCATAAGCAGAGATCACTAATGGTTCCTTACTGCCTATTAGAGTAATTCCAAATGCCTCCAGCTGGCATTTGAAGCTCCTTTAAGGAATCCAAGATACTTATGAAATAAAATCTAGAAAAATGTTTTTCAAACTTAAAGTAATAAAGAACCCCTTTAAAGGACAAATTATTGAGAAAAGAACAATAAAGCAACTTCCTCTTCTGCACCATTCCCAAAAAAGAAAAGGAGAAGAGGAATGTGGTCAAACTAACTACTCTAACTACTAGGTAAATGAGTTTGGGTAGCCTACTTTACCTTCAGTTTCCCAGATGTAAAATGGGACTATTAGCAGCTCACCAGGTTACAGAGATGAAGTAGGATAATATACATAAAGTACCTTATGTATATACAGTAGGTGCTTCAAAGGTTATTTTTAATATTATCGGGATGATGGGATTATGGATGAGAGAGGGCAATTCTTCCTAGGAAAGTCAGAAACTTCAAAGAACATGATGACATCTGAGCTGAGACTAGACGAGTAGGAATTCACCAGGGGAATGCAGGAGGAAAGGACAATCCAGTGGGAACAGAATGCAAAAGTGAATGAGCTAAAATTTAGGCTTTATGCAGTAGATTATCCCCTTTCTAGAAAGAGATATGGAACCGAATTTAACTATAACTAAACTGATAACCCTCTTAAAGAAATACACTTTTGAAAAGAGTTAAGACAACAATACTTTCTTACTTTACAGGATTTCTTTTAATGTTAATACAAAGATTCAGAAATAAATATGCTTAATATCATGACTTGCTAATACTCCTTTCATGTGAGTCAGAAATAAGAGAAGGTAGGTTTATTTGTTATATGTTTAAATTCCAGTTTTCAACTTAGAATGACCAACTACGTAACTATGTAAATAATTTGTTCAGTGCATCAAAAGGTCTTTGAAGAAAAGATAATCATGCCAGATACAAAAACAAAACAAAACAATATTGCTTATTCCTCCTCTTAGGACAACAAGTTTATGACTCAACTATTCACAAATGCTATATACAAAAGAAAGGGAACTAACATTAATTGTGGACTTATATGCCCAGGCACTATACTGAGAATTCACATAGGCTCTCTGATGTGAACCTCACAGAAAAATAGGGATTATTCCTGGCACCATTTTATAGACACAATAGGATAGGAAATATTAAGCAATTTGCTCAAGATCCTATAGCAATTAGGTAGTGGAATCAAGATTCAAATCTACTGTCTGTCTCCATTTAAACCTGAGTTTCTTCCATGTCTCACTACCTATGCTGCCCCAGAGGGAATGGCGGGTGCTTAGGCTGAAGAAGCAAGCATGGATCAGATCATAAAGGGCTTTGCATGCCATGACATGCAAAGATTCTTTATCTTTGCGAGCAACAGAGTCCCTGGAGAGGATGCTTTATCTTGCAAGCAATAGAGTCCCTGAAAGGGTTTTAAAAAAAATGTGATATATGATTTATTTTCCACATGGATCACTCCTATTGTGAAGATGTAATTTTATTCTAAATTCTTCACCTTCAGAGAATGCACACTATCTTCTAAAAGCCAAATTGATTTACTCTCCCCTCCCAGAAATTCATGTAGCCCAGGTTAAAAACTCCTGTCCAAGAATAAGATAACAGCAGTGAGGACAGTGAGAGGATTCTAAAAATATTCCAGGAGATGCTAATATACAGGAACTGATGACTGTATGGAGTAAGAAAGAGTTGGGAATAAAGAATAAAGCCATTTGGGTTTCTAGCTCTGATGTTTCAACAGATGGTGCTATCACAACTAAGATAGGAAATATAGGAGAAAGAGTAGGAAAACACGCTTTTTAAACTACAGGCATATACTTTTTAACTCTTAGGTATGTTCTTGAAAAATCTGGCATAACCCAGATCCTTTTTCCTCTCTAAATTCCATAATAATTTCAATGATGTTTCCAACTGACAGTGTTTCACTAACATTTTGTTTATCCTCCTTTACAACTTTCTGATCTTCAATTAGCTAATTAACCAAAAACAAATCTGCATATTCTGGAAGATCTATTTAAAGGAATAGTTCTATTAAAAAACGAATTCCTTTCTGGATTGTGTATAATCACTCCTTAAATAATCTGTTTGGTAAATTTGGATTTCTCACATCCCATCTGTACTTACAGAGACCCTTTTCTGACCACCTCCTGCCTTTACCCCACCCCTGGATCAGAGAGTGAGACCTCCAGCAGGAGCCTTTTTTACCTTTGACAGTTCTCCCAGGTCAGGCCGCACCCAGCCCAGTTTGTCCAGCACACACTCGTCAAACTTTGCCTGCTGTTTGCGACAGTGACGAAATGTCTGCAGGCCGGAAAAATCAATGCAGGTCCAATATTCGGTAAAAGGTTCTGCACAGTGAAACTTTATCTGCCTGGAAAAGAGAACTAGGTTAGATGTAGCTCTTTGAAAAACAATGAAAAACAGAAAAGTGGGAAAAAACGAGGTACAGATCTCAAATACACAGCCTTGCTTTTTGAAAGGTATGGGAGTAAATACTCTTACCTCACAAGACAACTTGAAGATCCTCACAGTGAGGGGTCAATAAGTAAACAAAATGAATTTCTGAGGAACAAAACCTAATTTCTTTATGTAGCAAAAAGAAAAGACTGGCCTAAGGCACATGTACTTTACTCAGAGGGGAACTCCTCACTTGGCACCTATTTATTCTTTTCTTTACATCCAATTTAAAAGAGTATAAGCTTAGCAAATTTAGAAGAGGAGGAGCCCTAATCAGAGATGCGCGTGCTGACAGATGTCAGAGGTGACAATGGCAAAGAAGAAGACAGAATTATAAGAAGCAAACACACAAACTAACATGCAGAAGATCCTGGGAACATTCAGTGTAAAGGCAAACTGCCCTCCATTCCTCAAAAGTTCAAGGTCTTTGTTCTATTAATGCACTGAACAAAAATAGAGAGTAATCCTTGTAATCACAAAAGAAGTTAAATTATATTTGGTGCTCTCTGTTAAAAAGCAGGGTCATTTTTTGGCCATCAAAAATGGCTGAAGAAAATGTAACCTGTGTATATAAGCATCAGTTATTTGTAAAATTCCCCTATATTATCATTCAACCCTGCTAATAATAAAATAAATGCAAATTCAAGCAAGAATAAAATACCATTATTTTATGTATAAACCATAGTTGAGGTAGCATAAGGAATTCTATTCATCTCCTTACCACAATGGAACAATAATTATAAAATGCTTACCTGCTATATTTCAGGAACCTAGCTACATTCTCAACACATGAATCTTGTTTAACATGGTTTAGGAAGGAAAAATCTCAGAGGTGGTCAAAGGAAGTACATAGTGAAAAATATACTTTCCTTCAGACACTCAGTTCCCCTCCTATGAGTCCACCAATGTCACCAGTTGGTTATGTACCCTTCCAGGTGTTCTATACATAACTGCACCTAACCTCTATTTGAGAATCACTCTGATAGAAAGCTACCATTTCCAATGACAGCTGTGTTTTCCTCCAAAATGCTGTAGCAGAAGAGCTGAAAACCCCCATTCTAGTAGTATAGATTCCTCTTCTGGACCCTGTTACCCACAGCTAATAATTATCTACTAATGCCTACAACCAACAACTTCAGCAGTGAGAAAATCCTCTCAGAGAGGAAGGCACCTTGGGAATTTGTGAAGTCCAAAGATCTCCCATTTAAAAGCTAACTATTTCTGGGCCAAGGGAAAAAGGCTTTGCCCAAGTTTTTTTAGAAAACAAACATTTTAAAATAAATAAACACACATATTCAACCTTGGGAGCAATGAAATCAATGCAAATTCAAGCATAATAAAATAGCAGTTTGTACCTATCAAATATTTCAATAATATGCATACAAGGATACAGCACTGAGGACAGCATAAATTGACCCTGCTTAAAAAGAAAAAAAGCAATAAAGTTCAAGAGCTATTAATAATGTTCAAAGCCTTTTAAAGAATAATCTCACTGCTGGGAAATTTAAGCCAAGGGATTAATAAAAGATCTATATACAAAGGCAATCACTGCAGATTTACATAAAACAATTAAAAACTAAAATCAACACTGATGCT